CGTGCTCTTTTCTGCTCGTTAGGAAGTCAAAACTTTTAGTATGTACTCACCTTAGAGGGCACCCACACTGGGACCTGGTTGAAAGAGCTCTATTGCTATTGCGGTTAGGTGGATCCAGGACCGTATCCACTCACCTTAAAACATACAGGAGGGTGTTTTACAAGATTTCTAAACAGAGTTGCAGCCATGTACAGCCAGGTCTTGCCGTAATTGCAGTCAGGTACATCCAGGAGAATTCTGGTGAAAGAGTACTCTGTCAAGTACGCCCTGAGATAAATTGAGACCCCTGCTCGATATCCCATGGGGCATGGTTTGCGACCTTTAGGGGTGAATGTGTGGTCTGGTCATTCCTTGCACAAATAATTGGGCTTGTTTCCAGGGGACTGTCTGAAAGCATGGCCCCAGATGGAAGGTTCCACGTGGCTGGATTCGTCGTTCTGGACTGTAGCGTGGAAGTACCAATGGCAAGAAATACAATCTGGGTGAGTTGGGAATAAACCAATGGAACAGCCAGAGGAAAGTTAGGGAATACTCAGACGAGGCCCTTATACTTGCCTGGTTTCTGAAGAAAGAGACGAACAAAAGAATCCTAGAAAGCAGGACTGCACATAAGGGAATGCCCTCGCTCCACTACTCGACATTATAAAGGTATCTGAACTGAATGCTAGACCAGATACATTAGGACAGATCGAACATTTTGAGTATATCAGACCTCTAACAGGTCCGGATACAATTTGTACTTCGTGTAATGGAGTGAGGCCTGAAAGTGATGATGAGGAATCTACGCAACTGAATTTACTTTGTGTAATGGAGTGAGGCCTGGAAGTCATGATGAGGAATCTATGGCAACTGAATTTGAACCATGGAAAGGGAGAAAAAGACAAACATACGAATGGAAGTAAAGTCCATAGGACATCTGTTAGAATTGGAATAATGGAGATAAAATTAGCCAGATTTCAGAGGTATGGATTGAGAAATGGACATCTGTTAGAATTGGAATAATGGAGATAAAATTAGCCAGATTTCAGAGGTATGGATTGAGAAACGGAACAAACTGGAGAAATAAAAAAAGTAACTTGTTCACAAATTAGAGAGAAAGCATCGATGTGTATCTGCCATCTGAGGGAATGCGGTCGAAAGCACCAAGGCGCATCTGCCATCTGAGGGAATGCGGGCGAAAGCACCAAGGCGTATCTGCCATTTGAGGGAATGGTAAACCCCAGGAAATTGTTCATTTATTTTTAGAGGTGAAACCGTGTTCAGTTCCATGATGTTAGGGTTTGGCTCCCTTCCTCGACGAGAAAAAAAAGGACAAGGAACCTGCATGTGACTGTAGAGCAAGAATAACCATGGTTTTTGTCAATCGGTTGTCTGTGGCAAGTAAAGTAGGGGTTTGCAGGGGGGAAAAGGGGGCGGTGGTTGTTTGGTGACGGGTTGACCTCACCGGGCAAATTGGGTGTGCACTGGTGCTTTTAACATGTGAGGAGACACAAGGACAATTTTGTTGATGGCATGGACCGAGGTAGCCAGGTTGTGGTAGGTGGCTTATGCAAGGGATAAAACTAGTCGACCTGTGGCGGTGCAAGGGATAAAACTAGTCGACCTGTGGCGGTGCAAGGGATAAAACTAGTCTACTTAAACCACCGCCACCTGTGCGCCTCTCTTTCCCGATGTGGATCTCCCATGCTCACCCAAAAAAAACGAACAGCGATGGTGCGCTTTCCCTTTTTTTGGTTGGTGGCACCACCCGTTTTGACCTGGAGGCACATGAACGGGGTTGTGCACATTTCTAAGAACAGAAATTTGCCTGGGCAATGGGATGGTGAGGTCCAAGCCCGCATCCTGTCACGTGCCAAAGAAAAAAAGAAACTGCCACAGGCGCGTTTCTTTTCCTTGGTAGCTGGTGGGACCAGCCATTTTGGTTCGGTAGCTCCGAACCTTGAGAGCTGTGGCTAATATATTTGCCGAGCTATTCATTTTGCCCAGAGCACAAAGTGGTGGTTTAAAGATCTACAATGTCCCGGATTGCTAAGCGTGAGGCATTATATGACCAGGTCGGAAATCTGACCAGGTTGGAAAATGACAAAAGCGGAAAGCGAAGAAAAGCTTGTGGAAGGAAAGCAAGGCATGTGCGTGCTGTGCACGAATGCTGCCACCAGTACCTGGGACCCTTCCTTCGTCCTCTGCAGGCTCAGCGAGAGCCATATCTAGAGAGAGAGGTTGCAGGAGTATGTTTCACTGAAAGCAGAGTTCCTTACCAACAGATCCGTAAGCAAAAGAAAATGAGAGACTGCTAAGAACGTTTCGGACGTTGCTTTCAACAATCGTGTTCGAGTCTTGAGAGGTGAGATTCAGAGGTGCGACAGAACAAGAACCGACCTCTCTCACATAGTACAAGATAGCGCAGCGGAAGGCTTAAATACGAATGGTCAGCCCAATCAATGTCGTAATGCAGACCCAACATGTACCATCATCATCACAATGTGTGAAGGGCCTGGCGCTACACACAGGAAGAATGCGCCAGGCTTGAGCATACAAAGAAGAGGAAGAGGGGGATTAGACGAAGATGAAGGGGAAGATGGGAATGTCGTCAACACCAAGTCTTCGTCACAGGTTCCAAATAATCCTTGTCCAATGTCTCAATCCCAATGTGGAGTCTGGATCCAAATGTCGTCAAGTTCCGAAGTCGCCAATCTTTCTCTCTCTTGTGGTCTGCAGATACTGAGAAGTTAGGTAGCGAGAGGGTGAGGGAGAGATGGTGGACTCAAAAGAGGAAGAAGAAGAACTCTCTCTCTCTCTCTCAGTCTGGTACTAACCTGTGAAGGTGGCGCCTTGTTGCAGGTACATCGAAGATGAAGCTGGAGCTATGGCGCCACAGGTAAGTCTCCCTGGCCTCCGCCAACCATCTCTCTCTCTTCAATGCTAGCTCCTAGTAGCACCCAGCGCTGAAGACTACTGTGAACGCGACTATTGCTACTGCAGCGCTCCTCCAGAGTGCTGCTGCCGAATCCTGAAGACTACCTCCTGCGTCCTGCACGCGAAGTGCCTGGGTAGTTTCTATGAACTGCCTCGTGCCTGACTGCATCCTGTAGGGCGGGCCAGTCTTATATAGTGCTGGCCCGTCCAGGAGGCTGCTCTTGCCGATGCCAAAACGTGCCAGATTGTGGAGTTCAAACAAAGGTTGTCTTGAAAACAGGCCAAAAATGGCCTGTGTTAAAACCCTGGTCTGGTGCCTAAGTTTCAGGGAAGGTCGACTTTATGAGGGCCTGAAAATGGCCCTCGTTTTCAGGTTTTTAGGCTGAAACGACACAGGGCCTGTAGGCCCTCGTTTTCAGGCTTGTAGGCTGAAACGACACAGGGCCTGTAGACCCTTGTTTTCAGGCTTTTAGGCTGAAACGACACAGGGCCTGTAGGGCCCTGAATTTCCGTCTGGTCGGGCCTTGCAGGCCCGTGTGGCTGCGCAGTATGCCACAATAGGGCAGGTAACAGCAACCATGGGTAGGAGGATATGGTTTTGTACCAGCCATTAGAAGACGGTCAGCAAATCATGGCCAAGCACACTGGCAAGCCAAGGTGTGCAGTGTTGGCATGCTTTCTGCTTTATGTAACTAACCCCTTGCGGAGAAGTGGCTAGCGGCTGCCGACCTACCTGCGGGCATGAAGACCCAGTGGGACCGTAGCCTGGTCCAGGTTGATACTCATACATGCTTTAGGTCAAGTCTAGGGTAGAAGCTACTTCGAAAGTTTTGAGGCTTGGGCCTACTGGATCACTGGCTGGTGGTGCCAGCCAGAAAAGAAGAAAAATGCACCACTCGACGGTTCGGAAAAACTTGGCGCGGAGTGCAGCACCTTCAGGCCGGGGTTAAACCAGCAGGATTTGGCCCAACCATTTTTCCCCGATGCAGCCGTTGACGCCCCACAAGTTTAACGCCTTGGCTACGGGAGGAAAATGGCTGGTCGCATCAGCCAAAAGAAAGTTGCGCCGGTTTGGGTTTGAGGCTCGGCAAGGGAAGGGTCAAAAGTACTGTTGGTTTAATAGGGTGAGATAATGTTTTAATGGCTTCTGAATGTGATCATATGTTGTTTGTTCTTCCTCCGAAGTAGCACATCATGGCCTTTGTTGTCTGCAATTATGGGTGGGACAGATCTCATGTTGATCATCGTCTGGATAGTGTTCGCCATCCTAATCACTTGTCAGTTTATGCTGTATGCTGCCAGTATTTTGAATAACCTGTGTGGTCATTCTAGTTTTGTCAGTTTGATAAATTGTTTCTGTCACTCTGAATGGCATTATCGTAATCTTTCCGACTTACCACTTGGATTGCATGAGGCTCATCGTCTTCGTTATTGTCAGTGCTACCATCAGGGCCTTGCTTTATATGTATATATAGGGTTCAGGCTCCTGATGAGTCGGTGAAACCCCGACGAAACGGTTTGTCACAGCCCCTCGTTTGTTGTCCTCTTCTCACTCTCTGCCTGTGGTTTACCGGGCAGCTCTGTTTCACGATTTATATTATGTGACAAACATATGTCGGTGTATCTTTCTATGTTCTGGCGTAAGGTTGTCTCATTTTGCGCATTTCATTTTGCGCATTTGGAGAGTAGTGGAAGGAGGACCTTAGTGGCCTTTTTGCCACCTTCTCTTTCCACTTTTGCTCATGTTTTGCGGTCACCAGTATGATTGTTGCAACCTGAATTTCCTGTAAAGCAAAACATATACTTGGGCATTGCAGATGAGGAGAGTTGGATGTGAGTTTTAGTCTGCTGTCATCCTCAGTGATATACCTATCTGAGCGAATGTTGTTTGGCAAGCCTACCGTTCCCTGCATACAACGTACGGTCAATTTGGTTGCATTTGGGGCAACTTTCAGACTAGATACAGGGATAATGACAGGATGTGCTATTTGGGGGAAGACGGTAGTGTGCATTGTTTGTTGTGAAATGTGGCTTGAAAGATTGGCTAGGGGCACAAGGATTGAATATTGCTAGCTATCTTGTAACACAGGAGTTCTCTCTGTTTAATCTTTCGTGATTGCTTGCCCTGTAGATACTGAAGTCTGGGCATCTATACATCTCTGCGAAAGGTGAGAGCATGTATCCATACTCTTGGTCTATGTGCCTTCATTCATCGCTCTTTCTTCTTTACTGTCTCTCCCAAGTATCTCTGCCTCACACTCCCAATTCCAACCTTGTGCTCTTCTCTTTCAACGCCCCTTGTGTGTAAAACATCATATGATGCCCCTCGAGTCCTCCCTTTTTTTTCCCTTACAAAAAATGTGGGCTATTTGTCAATGTATGTGTGTCATCCTTGTGCAGGGGTCATTCTAACTTCCCTGTATCGTTCCAATTTTAATGGATGTCCTGAATGACAAGTCCTCCCTCTTCGAGTGCCTATAAATCACCTTGTGAACACTCTCGACAATCTCTTTCCCCAAACCCCTTGTCTGTCAAACATGCCATGTCTGGCACTCCCCCTTTCCTCGTTCTTGTGCTGTGTAAAGCACCTTGTTCTTCCCTTGGTATCTCCCTCCCTTTCCGTTGGCAGCCAGGTGTGTCCACACATGACGGCTATTGTACAGGCTGAGGAGAGAGTGGCCAGCCAAGTGTGCTGAACTGTTTACTAATGTATTGTATGTGTGATGGATTGCCCAGTTGGATCTGTGTGTGTATTACATTGCGAAAAACGAGCACCCCTGAAGGGTGTTCATGGTTTAGCACCTTGCTGCCCATTTTTTACGTGTAGCAAAGGCACACTGTCTCACCGATTTGTTTTGTGTCATAGATCTGGTCATAGTCGCGGTACACTTTTTTCTCTCTTGCGACTTTTTGTGTCATAGATCTGGTCATAGTCGTGGTACACTTTTTTCTCTCTTGCGACTTGTGATGTTTACTCATATCCTGCAACTCTCGATGTTGCCAGGAGCACTCCCCAACGATAATCCTATTGAGTGAATGTACTCAAGTCCCCTCCCCCCGTCTCTTTTTTTGTCAAGATCTTTTCGCCTGCCTCCACATAAATGCGCGGGTAGTCATCATCTCTCTTCATGAACTTTTTCTTAAATGGGGCATGTAATCTCTCTCTTTCTCTCTCTTTCTCTCTCGCCTCATGAGATGTGCACACACCTTGTCCGTGTTTCTGATATACTCTGCTTGATATTTGTTGGAATGCCACCTATGATTCTATGTCCTATCTCGTCTGAAATGCACATGACTGCAGTCATGCTAGAGTTGCTCAGCACAAAAATTGCGCCTGTTTTTGCATAGATTTTACTGAGGATTGGTTGTAACCTTTCGTTTTATTTCCTTGCTGGGTAATTCTTGCAGGGATTGGGTGGAAGACATGGAAGAGGCGATGGTTTGTCCTGACGCGCACGTCTCTTGTATTTTTCAAGGCCGAGCCGGTACCTCCCTTGCCTTGTTACCTAATAGATAATTACTTTCGCACGAACTCAACCTGCTGCCTACGATGATCTGTTCACCCTTTGGTTGTCGCGGCGCAGCACCCCAACCTTGATTGACCAGGCGATTACCTGTGCCCTTAGATGATCCCTTGAATTTCTGCGAAGACAGCAAGGTAATGCTTAAAGCTAAGGTGTGAGTGGAGCTCCTCTGCAGTAGGGGAGATAGTCAGATAGAGAAGTATTGCAGCATCAGATGTTTGTAGGAGATGCAGGAAGGTTGCGTCTGCCTGCGAAGCAAATTGGTGAATTATTAGGGTGGTACGAGGAGAATAAAACTGGAGAAAGGGCCGTCGAGTAGAAGATTCCAAGAAACGAGGGGTGGTTTGATTTCCTTCAAGCTCACTTGTTTGCAAGTGCAGTGCAATGATATGTAGAGGCCACTGCATCTTTGCTTTTTGTTTTGTTCTTTGTGCCCACACCACAAAGAACAAAACAAAAATCAAAGATGGTATGGCTTTTACTCATCGTTGCACTGCATTTGCAAACAAGTGATCTTGTTATCCGGCTGTCGATACATGTTTTGGAGACTTGTTGTGTGTGTGAGCGGGCTAGGTACGAGTGGGGATCACATGCTGATTGGAGCGAAGTGTGCAAGAACTTACGCGTCTGTGTGGTGTGTCCGTGTGGTGTTGTGTGTGGTGTGTCGAGCTGGACACTACAGCCTTGCAGTGGTGGGGTGGATATCGCAACCGGTAGGGTTCCACTTTTGGACTGCGTCCTGGCGGCAGTCGTTAAGAGACTTGGCTCTTGAGACGAAGGTCGCTGGTTCGAATCCGTGCCTTAATGTAGGAGGGCCTTGGGCTCAGATGTACTGATCTATAACTACTTGCACGTTAAACCACCACTACCCCCGCCGTTTTAAATTTGGGGGGACTGGTAGCACAGGTGTATGAGGGCTACTGGTAACACAATTGGGGGAACTGGCGGAGTGACAAAATTGGAAAATGCATCGAATTGCCCCCAGATTTTATTTCGTAAATGAAATGATTTTTTTAATTTTGTAAATAAATTTTCCTAGAAAGATCACGACGAAATCTGCATACCCTCCAATTTACAGACTTCTTGGAGTATTGTATTAGATGGGAAAAATCGCTGAAGTCGGGGTACTTTTCCCATTGGCCGACACGTGATAGAGCAGTAAAAAGCAGCAAAAATGGAATATAGGAAGAATTGGCGTGGCATTTATTTCACGATCTTAAATATATATATTTTTAATTCTTAAATATTTTTTGTGGAAAGATCACGACCAAATCTACAGGCCCTTCAATTTGCAGAGTTGTTGAGTCATCCTTCTGAGCGCAAAAAATCGCTGAAGTTGGGGTACTTTTCCTGTTGTCCAACATGTGTGAAACGGTATTCACCTGTTAGCAGTAGCGGATGCAGGTCCCAGGGCTCGATCCCTAGTCCTCACTTTACCTGTGTACAGTATCAGTGTCGACCCCGAGTGTTTGAACCCGTGACCTGTGTAATGGTAGGGGTTCGATCTGTAGATCTGTCAAGTAGGAGTCACAGCCCTGTAGAGGTCGTAGCTGYAGGAATCCTGAAAGGTCAAGGTCGTAGCTGCTACAGTCCTGAAAGGTCAAGGTCGTAGCTGCTACAGTCCTGAAAGGTCAAGGTCGTAGCTGCTACAGTCCTGAAAGGTCAAGGTCGTAGCTGCTACAGTACTCGAAAGGCCAAGTCCGCAGGCTTCCGGAAAGTCCGGAAATGGCCTTTCGAAGCTGGCTCACGTTTTATTCAGAGGCAAGTGGGCAAGTGGTGAGCCCAGCTGCATTACGTCGGCAGTGTGACTGCACTGAGTTGGCAGTGCAAACCCATGCAGTCAGCGGTACCGGTCCAGCAGTCCCAGTCCAGTCAAGCAAGTACCATGAGGGACTGTGTGCACCATAGGCCTGGTGGAGAGGGGCAGACCAACGAGTTACAGAAGTCTAAATCAAGAGGCAACGCCCAGCCATTCATTCATTCCTGCGTAAGCCATGCGGAAGCGCTGCTACAGCGACTTGTGCGAGGTGGTCTGCAGTAGGCCCGAAGACGAAGTGGGCGAGAAGGAAGCTTAGCCATAGCGATAGGGTAGGCAGCGGCCATAGCCGCCATAGCTGATAGGAGAGAGAGTGGCATGTGTGAGTGTGCGAGTGTACAGTGGGTTGCGTGTGGGATATCCAGGGTCATCCAGAGTTGAAGTGTGAGCGAACAGTGGTGTTGGACACAGTGACGAGAGTTGGGATGCTGGTGCACCATAGCCTGTTGAAGCGAGTTTGCATCTGAACTGTGTTCTTGGTTTCCATATCTCTGAGCTTTGTGTTTCTATGCGCCAGTGTGAATCACCATCTGTTTGTATGCATGCGAAGCGAGGAAGAAAGTGAGTCTGATTGCATGTGCCAGAATGGCAAAAATGGAAAATGCAAGGAAACGGTGTGGCATTTATTTCGCGGTCTATTTTTTTTTATATATTTTTCCTGGAAAGATGACAACCTAATCTACAGCATCTCAAATTTTCAGATTTTTTCTTCAATTCTTCTGAGCGCGATAAATGTCAAAGTTTGCACTTCAAAATCCTTGGACCAGGCCTGCCTGCACCTGCCGGTCGCTGCTTCCCCCCTAAGAACCCGGTCCGTAAGGCCAGGAAAGTCTAATTTAGGCCGGCGGGGGTAGTGGTGGTTCAAGGCATGTGGCACTCTTGATGTTTCTTTTTTTTTTTTTAAATGGGTGACGGCCTTGAGATATCATCATGGAGCTGACCAGCCCCAGGTAATTCGGAATTATTTTGTTCTTTATCCGATCGCGGCTGGACTCGAGTTTGGGTCTGTATTTCGACAGTTCATTGGGTCTAACAACTGAGCTAGGCCCGTTGTGCACTATCGATGGTTTAATTGTGCTCAGTCTTGCTTTTTCATTCATGACAGTTTTGATGTGTGCAGTCTACCAGACAGCATTGCGCTTGTGTTGGCGGCTGTGTGTGAGTGGCCGTTCGGTGACTTATGTCACTGATTCTGTCATACCATATTTATTCCTGCTGAACTGTTTCTTGCCGGTTTCCATTGTCCGAGAATGTATATTCCAGTTCTATTTAATAATGGTAAATGTAGAGAGCGCAACAATTGTTTGCAGGAACCTCTAATGTCTAGTGCTCACTGTGTTTGCTTTTTGGTGGCAATGTTTGTTTGGGGTTGTGTGCTTGAACAATGTGGCAGAAGGGTCAGATCGACTTTTCAATGCCTCTGGGTGGTATTTATTTGAATAACTCTGGAAGGTACGTTTTTTAATTTTTTCCGATTTTGTTTCTTTTGCTGTGTTTCTTAGAACCACCTCTTCTCCGCCTGGGAAAAATCGGAATAGTGAATCTGTATGCAAGCCGAATGTTTCGGGACTTGGTGGGGGGTCCCAAGGAGAAATGGCTGGTGCTGCCAGCCAAAACAAGAACAACGCGGGCCCGTGCTCTGGTTCATTATTATTTTGGTGCACAGCACGAGCAGCCGCATAAAAAGGAAGCTCAGAGGTAGTGGTCGTGTAAGTTATTAACAGGGCATGTGTTTTCTTTGTTCTAGACTTTCCCCCATTTCGGTTATTCTCTTTAAACACGTCTTTTCTTGTTTGATCAGTTTCAGTAAGGGGATATCATTGCTGTCTAGGGTAAAGTGAAAAAGAGTAAGCAAAATTAAACGAAAAAATGGAAAGGTGGTCCCCCAGGGAACCAGGGTCTCATGGCGCTGTGTGTCCCAAGTCTGGGGATCACCGCGGTCTCACGATTCGGGCAATGGACAAGACAGTTCGGTCGAGGGGGGAACGGGCAGGATAATGCCCTCACCTGTGAGGCGGTGCAGAAGAGCATATGGGGCTGCCTGCTCTTGTGGCGCAAGGATGACATATGGGGTCCCTCTTGTAGCACACGGGTCGACGGTGGAAAGAAACTGGAAGAGGAACACAAGTCGAGTAGGGCCGGACTGGTGGTCCGCTAAGGACCGCTGCGGAGGGCCAGCGAGTTGGGGAGAGAGGTGAGGGATAAACTGCTGTAGGCAGGTTCAAAGGCGACTCAGCTATGCAAAAAGAGATAAGCTAGCTCAAGGGACGTAATGGTTTTCATAAGCCGAAGCCAGGTTACAGGACCCGGTGATTAAAACTGTGCGAAGGGACACTGGACCCAGTTTCCAGCAGGTGAAGCTCCCCACTTATAGATTGGAGCCCCGGGGTGGCCCTGCTAGGGAGTATTTCTCTTACTGCCCTCCCTAGCAGCGCCCCCGGAGTTTAGTCCAAGGAAAATAGAATAAAAATAAAAAGGGAAAGGGAAACAAAATTGAGAATGGTAGGAAGTACTACAAATAAACTATACTTGAGTCGAAGTCGACAAAGCTACCTTCCAAGGCTTGTGAGCTTGCAACTGCGCCTTACCAAAGTGGCCTGCCACTTTTGCTAGCAGCCCATAAGCGGATCAAAATGTTCTTAGGGCATACTCACACTAGGCCCTCAAAACTGCAAAATCACAAAATGAGCGGCCAGATCTAGTCCTCCTGTTACCAGGACTCAATCTTGCCGCTCATTTTGCGATTTTGCGAGTTCGAGGGCCTAGTGTGAGTATGCTCTTATGGCGTATACTGGTCAGAGCACCGCTTAGGTTCCAAGGCTGACGAGCCTGCAACTGCACTGTTTCAAAGTGGCCTGCCGCTTTTGCTACTGGCCCAGGCCCGGATGGAAATGCTCTTACTGCGTAGACTGGTAAGAGCATTGCTTAGGTTCGTGTGAACTGGTGGTTTGAAGCAGATAAAAAGGAAATAAAATAAGGGTTGTTGACACTAGTGTTTGCAGTTGACCGCATGGAGCTCAGTCCTAGCATGAGTTTGCTTTGAGGACAGGGCAAGAATCCTCAGGGAGGAAGACACTCAGTACTCGGTCAAAAGTACGTACCTGGTAAAAGTTCTTCCATGGAGCTGCAGAATTCTGGACATACAACAGTCTAGGTGCATTACGGGGCACATTCTGGGTTAACACTGGTTGGCAATGCTTGAGCAGTTAGAGAAGCAGTATACCACCCACAGTGGCTTCCATAGCTGAATGAAGACAAGACAGGTGGTTGCCACGATGTGGATAGTGGGAGGTTAAGCGGTAAAGGTTTGGGGGATTTGAATTCATTCTGAAGGGGTGCGTGGCAGCAGAGGGAATCTTTTGCTTGCAGAATTCGAGGGTGCTTGATTGATCGCCTTTGACCTTTAGAGCGAGAGTCTGCAGATTTAGTAGGTATCAGATCAATGCAAAGAGAGGGGGGGGGGGGGAAAGAGACACACACACACACACACACACACACACACACAGAGAGAGAGAGAGCTGTCTCTTATACACATCTAGATGTGTATAAGAGA